AAAGGTGTGCATACATCAATCAAGCACATCTGTGAAAAATTGGCACTAGCTGTCAAACAATGCAATCAAGATCAAGTTACAGTCAGTATTATCGGTGTCAACGAAGGAGGTTCTAGCGAAGATCTTAATCAGCTAGAGCCTTCCTTCATGTATACACAAATATTCAAGGAAATACTCCTTGATATGGAACATGATCAACAAGCTATCAAAGACTTGGTCACCTTCTGCCAAGAACAATACAAGGACAATACCAAAGAGCTCAAATTGATCGATGAATTTCAACGTAATTATCATCCTACATTGGCGTTATGGTGGTACACACGCCAATGTTTTACATACAAAATGCTCAATCGAGCATTAAGAACATTGGATGGCGACATTGTCATCCGAATGGGATTTTTCCTGTGTGATGTTCATCGACAAATCGAAGAATTACACAACCAACAGGTCAGTCAATATCATGGAAAGTCCTTTATAATTTATAGGGGCCAAGGATTATCGACAGGTGACTTCGAAAAACTTGCAAAGAACAAAGGTGGTCTCATATCTTTCAACAACTTTTTATCCGCTAGCACAGATCGTGATGTCTCCTTCGCTTTTGCTGAAGGCACCTTAGGAGCAACCGATATGGTTGGTATCCTCTTTCAAATGACCATCGATCCCACAGTCTCATCGACTCCTTTCGCCTCCATCCAGGAGGTGAGTTATTTCAAGGACGAAGAGGAAATTCTCTTCTCCATGCACACCGTTTTTCGAATTGATGAAGTTCGAAAACTGGACAAGAAAAGTCCACTTTATCAAGTGGACCTTAAACTTACATCGGATGATGACCAACAACTTCGTCAATTAACTGACCGTGTACGACAAGAAACATCTGGCAGCACTGGATGGTATCGAATGGGTCAATTGCTGCTCAAAATAAGTCAATTTGACAAGGCCGAAGAATTATATACAGCACTACTAGAACAGACATCCAACGACAGTGATAAAGCACATACCTATCATATGCTGGGAATGATGAAAAATGAAAAAGGGCAATATACAGAAGCAGCTTCATTTTATGAAATGTCTCTCAAAATTAAACAAAAAACTCTACCAGAAGATCATCCTTCATTGGCTCCTACATATAGCAACATCGGTTTGGTGTATAACAACATGGGTGACTACTCGAAAGCACTTGAATTTTACGAAAGATCACATAAAATCTACGAAAAAGCTCTGCCTTCGAATCATCCCAGTTTGGCTACTTCCTACAACAACATCGGTCTAGTGTATAAAAACATGGGTGACTACTCGAAAGCACTTGAATTTTACGAAAAAGATCTTGAAATCACGAAAAAAGCTCTGCCTCCGAATCATCCCGATTTGGCTACTTCCTACAACAACATCGGTGGAGTGTATGATGACATGGGTGACTACTCGAAAGCACTTGAATTTTACGAAAAATCACATCAAATCCTCGAAAAAGCTCTGCCTTCGAATCACCCTCATTTGGCTGGTTCCTACAACAACATCGGTCTCGTGTATGACAACATGGGTGACTACTC